CAGCTTAGAACAAATTTCTAACGTTATGGAAATCAGGTGATGTTATTCTTGTTTTGATAGTATGCCCGCACAATATGTATCCATGTATATTTTATTAATATTCTACAGGCTGATTTTAAAGTTTTTCCTGCTTGTTATTGATATTACTATAAAATATAGAGTAATTTTTTTAGAGGAAAAAAAGAACAAAAGGAACCGACAAATTGTTGATGGACGATAGTTGGACTGGGTGTGTATGTTGGACACACTCTTGTCAACACTGTGTTTAAATTTCTCCATGCATTAGGAGGTCAAATCCTCATACCTGTGTGTAGATATACCTTGAGCACGTGTTGCAAGAAAATTATGATCATTGTTTTTTACCTATCCAAGTGGTGTCGGTTTTGTTGCTAATTTTGCTATTACATCTTGTAAGCGAGGTTTTGACATATCATTTTGGCCTCTTGATCATATTTTCTGGAAGAAGAATGAACTTTTATGAGCTGGTTTAGTGTTTATTTGACAGGCAGTCGTTGTAAGCATTGATCCTCGTAGAGTGTATGTTAAAGGTCCTAATGATGTGCAGTTCAAGACTATACGGGTCACAAAACCAGGTAAATAAAGATTTTACTTTCTTTTTATTTACCATTCATTCGAAATTTACATTTTGTCCTTGGAAAATTTGCTGTGTGTGAACAAGAGAATTTTTCTGAAGACATTGTCTGAGAAAGTTCATAATAATGATTAGGACGTCCTTTTGGTGGCAGTCCAAACGGAGAAGAAATGCTTGGTATCAGTGACGGTAGGGTTCTCTTTGCTCTTTGCCTTTATGCATTATCTGTGATAAAGCGCTTATCTACAAACTTTTTTAAACTAATGGTGTGCGTTAAACCATCATACGATAGATCTTATTCAAAGCAAGCAAATACCTAAAACCAAAAAAGAACTCATCGAACAATGAATTCCACCTACAAATATTAATCAGTCATAAGACTAACAACCAATCAAAAAGCAGACTTAATGCCTATGACCCAAATGCACCCAGCATCCATTCATGTCATCCCAATTATATGTTCACAGATCATGGGCAATCATTGGCTTAAGTAGTTTTTTATCTTCCGGAATATCTAAAGATAGTGTATGGAATTTTAAAGGGGGAGAGAAGTAGCCGAACATAGGATTTAGATGGGGAAGAACTAAGGAAGAAAGAAAAATGTGACGATGGGCATTGGATCTTAACCATGAGTATGTTACTCAGTCACAAGGATTAAAGTCTAGTATGGATGTGTCTAACACGTGTGTGCTTTATTTATTCTATGTTTCCCTTACATTTGGAAGTTCTCAGCATTATATCCATGTTCAAATATATTAAACACCTCCAGGAAAAATGTAGCGTTGGAAATAACATAGTGAAGAACGAATAGAGTTGAGAGAAGGATAATTATAAACAATGGGGGCATATGTATTAAAAGTTTGTGGCGATCATTTAAAACCTGAAAATTAGATAAAATCTAAATGCGCTAACATTCTAAAGAAAAACAACGTTAGGAAAAGGCAATTAGCTTGAAGGTGCAAACTAAATAATGCGATGCTACAAGGAACAATAGCATCAAGGGTGCACTCAGACTAACTCCATCTATAGTTCAAGCTCAAGTTCAGTACTCTAATATAGAAATCAAATTACAGAATGATATCTTCCAAAGCTCAACATGCAAATCTTCCATTCCATTTCTCATGCACTTAAAATGTTACTTTAATAGTATCTAAATAAGAAACCAAACAAAAAAATGATGTATCCTTGAATCAAAGTAGTCGCTGCATGCTCAACTATACACTAGTAAAATTATATCATTTTTGCATTTTAACTGTAGCAACTCCATCGTGTCACATTTGTACAGATTGTTTAGCTTAATGTATCTATGGATAATACATAATGATTAAATATCCATCATTTTCTGTTTATATGTCAGAAGTCTTTAGTTTATGCATATGCTGAATGGCTTTATGTTCCTAAGGTTAATGGTGGGCGAGAGGTCGACCGATTGGAGCTTATGAGCTTGCAAAAGTTGTTGAAGAACTGGGACAGGAGAAATACTATTGAACGATCGATTGTGACGGTATAAATTCCTCACCGGTTCCCCTGTAAGTACATGTTAATAGCACGACATTAACATTTCAAATAATCCAGTGTTGTTAAGTGTGTTTAGGTGCTAGAACTCTTTCATTGCTTTAGGTGATAGCCTGAGTGAAGTAAAGCGCAATATATATATATATATGTGTGTGTGTGTGTGTGTTTTTAGGAATAGTAGGCCTCACTAAAAACCCCCTTCATGATTATGGAACTTGAAAATAGTTCCTTAATCAGCGGAAGGATGAAAAGAGTGCCCTAGGATTCATTAACCTCAAATAATTACAAAGTAATACAAGGTCTAATCTCCCTCAAGAGGTAGAAAACCAAAAGAAAACAGCCCTTAACAGAACATAAATATCAACCAATACCACCTTAGCTAGGACGTCCGCCTCTATATTGGTTGTCCTACTAACCCATTCTAATAAGACCTCATAAACACTAAGCTTTTGAATAATGTCTTTAACAATTTGAACATAACGACAAGACATGAAACAACATCCTTAACCCACCCAATTGCCACCTTACTATCATCTCGATAATCAATATCTTAAACCTATGGCGAATAGATCATAAAAATCTAAACCCTTTAGGATAGCTTTCAATTCCATCAAAGTTGGAGGCCCCGGACCAGCAGGCTCTTTGAAGGAGCCAAGAATCGAGCCAGACATGTCTTTAGAACACCACTAAACCTCCTTTCCAATCACTAGAAGTAGCGCATCCACATTAAGTTTAATAAAACCCTTTGGAGGAGGGGACCAAGGAAACTTAGTTGAAATTTGATTAGAATGGGACGAGCAAGAATCCATAGGGAAGGGTCAGCAATAAGAGCATCCTGGAGATAGAAATATGAGTTTCCCTAGCTAGAAACCATGAAGCAAGCCTGCACCTAGCTAAAAACCTAAACCACTCCTCTTCAATCACTAGAAGTAGCGCATCCACATTAAGTTTAATAAAACCCTTGGAGGAGGGGACCAAGGAAACTTAGTTGAAATTTGATTAGAATGGGACGCAAGAATCCACTAGGGAAGGGTCAGCAATAAGAGCATCCTTGGAGATAGAAATATGAGTTTCCCTAGCTAGAAACCATGAAGCAAGCCTGCACCTAGCTAAAAGAAAATTTCTGCTCGATCAAGCTTCCCTCCTTCGAACACTATAAAATTCCTAGTTCCATATTGTCCATAAAACCACTCCAGGTATAAATGACCAAATAGAGAGTTGGTCTTCAAGTCAGTCCATGCTAGTAGGAATCTTTAGCATCTTCATGAAAAACAGACTGAAAATTCCAATAGCCCATGAATTTAGTCCATATTGGCCAAACAACCGAACAGGAAAAAAATAGATGAGATGATGATTCTTCTTCTAGATTACAAAAAGGACACAAGTAACATTTATGCCCTGAACACCTCTCTTAACCAGAGCTGTCTTCACTGCCAGCTTCTTTAAGATAACTTGCCAAAGAAAAGTCAATAGTAATGATAGTACTCTGAATTGTTTTTCAATCATGCATGCTTGATTGAGTTTGATACTATTCCCTTCTTGATATTAAAGGTATATCTAAGGAAAAGTAAAAAATTAAAGAAATTAGAGAGAACTTCAATTATGTGGACTTTTTTATGCCTACCACCTTACAAAATCATGCCTAGGTGCACTAGGCTTGCGCCTAATCAAATGGTTCTCGCCCAAAAGGGTCTGAGGCACTTTTGTTCTGTAGTGCGCAGGCACAGACGCTAGGAGCATGCCTTGACAACAGTGATAATTGCTCCTTTCGTTTTGAAAATTTCATCAAGAGTCATTTGTTTACATTTAAACAGATGGTCAAGTGCTATTGACAATATCCAGATTATGCCATTTTTCTTTTATAAATAAATAGTCATTTTGGGTTTCTCTCTAGGATTATCAAAACGTGTCCATGGTCATCAAAATTACAGAAGACTTAATATTATATACATACTTGTGATTTTTCTAACCAAGTAGGATATCAAGTATATTCTTCTTTTGTTTGTTTAAATGCCTATTTGCTGAATTTACAGGTCAAGGAAAAGGATTTGATATTGATTTAATAAAGCTGATTTCTGATGCTGTCAGCATCCCTGTAATTGCAAGTAGCGGTGCTGGTGCTGTTGAACACTTCTCGGAGGTATTCATGAAAACAAATGCATCAGCTGCTCTTGCTGCTGGCATTTTCCATAGGAAGGAGGTAATTCTTCAATAATTTTTCAAAATCTCATTTTCCCCAGCTTGATGAATAATTAGAAAAATTTAAAGTTAGATAACAATCTTTTGATTCATTGGGTTTTAGGTGCCCATTCAGTCTGTAAAAGCACACTTATTGAAGGAAGGCATTGAAGTAAGGATGTGATCGAATATGTTATCAAGTTGATTAGGCCCTCGAAATTTTTGTTCCTAAAATCAGGAGTAAGTATCGGTATGCAAACTTCCCATCTTATTGTTTTTAATGTTTTAATGCATATTTGCTGTTTTGGGATTGATTTCAAATTTTTCATTCAGATATGAGTTAGAATGTATGACTGAACCATTAAGATAATTCAAAAAATGGATTCGGATATCTAATACTGCTATCCAAATCAAATTTAAACATATTTGATATTCAAGAGTATTACCATTTGATTTTTCTCTGAGCCCATCTAGGATATTTATATGCGTGTATGTATATGTATTCTTTATATCGATTTTATTACTTGCTGCTGGTTTCAACACAAGGCACTTGATTATCTCATATGATTAGCTGAACCAGTCGTGGAGGCTGGATTACTGGAAGTCGGGATGAAGTACACCTAAGTTTTCTTACTGAATAATAAACACCACAATTTCCTCCTATACATATATAATAAATTGGAACTGTGCCCTGTAAGGTTTCTTTAATTCAAGTTCAATGGGGGGTAAGGGTAAAAATATCAAGGTCCCTGTATCTCTGAAAACACAAACAACCCTGAGGTTGATCATGTGGGATCATCCCTCCTCCCTTGGATGTGTCTATACTCTCTAACATCGACACCACCTCGTCCATCTCTGGTCGTCTGTCGGGGTTTGCATCCCAGCATCTCTTCATTACATTTGCAAGCGAGCTTGGACAGCAACGAGGTATCTCTGGCCTCAGATTCTGTAGTTTTAGAAGTTGAATATTAGATAATAGTATGTTTAATTTTCTAAGTTCTTTTATATATTAGATTGTGTTTTTTCATAACATATCGGAATACTCTAGAAAAAGTCTAGGTAAAATATAGCATACAGTGGCATAAAATTATCTTGGTTTATAGTTGTCTATGTTATTCCTACTCATCATCTTGAAGTATCCGTGTCTGACATATCCGACATTAACACCTGATTGCAGCCCAGAAAATGATAGGGATAGATAAATTACCTGGCGAACAACAGAGATGTGACTTCTGAGAAGCTAAGATCAGGATATGGCATGTCACAGCAGTATATCTCCACAAACATTACCAAAACTATACACATCGCACTTTCGATTGTAGGGATTGCCGTTAAGGACCTGTCTCAATTTCAGATTCATCAAGGATAGATCATAAGATAGGCAGTGCTTAGAAAAATCATCAGCTATGATCTTATTTAGCCATAGCTGAATTGTCAATGCCTGTCCAGATGAATATATACTTCAAGCACATAAAGGTAACAAAAATCTAGGGTTTAGGGTTAAGGATCAACCATCTTGCCACACTTTATATTGAAGACCCTGCATTTGATAATTCTAGGAAAGCATTTAGCTGTAAGTATACCTCTGGTGCCATGTAAACCCAATGTCCAGTCTCTCCAGTCATGTCATTAGGGTTAGATGCCTCAAGTCGAGCGACCCGAAATCAGCAATTTTAACAGTGCGCGACTTGTCCAGAAGCATGTTTTCGGTTTTGACATCTCTATGGATCTTCTTAGAGTGAAGATAACTCAACCTAACAGTACAGAAAACCACAAATGTTAAACACAATGATCTGTGATTTCAACCTTTCCTACAATTCACATTTCAAATATGATTATCCATAGATCGGTAGAAGGAAATTGAGTATTGATAGGCCACTGGAATCTGACCCTCGTGCAAGATCAAGAGTGATTTGAACAACTACTTTAAAGGCAAGCTTCCTCCTCCTATTCTTGATCAGGTAAGATTTTAGTGCACCACCGGGACAATATTCAACAACAACGCAACAAACATTACTTGGCATGCCTATATGACCATGTTCCGTTTGTAAGTTCAGCTCTGATGATCCCATCGTCGCCCTAAGAACTGCATGGGATTAACGCACGGATTAAAGACATAAATTTGGACAGGTAAAGGATATATCACCCCATAAACCCTCATGGACAAAATCCTAAAATATATTTTTATTAATAACTCCTAAAATATTGAATATATATTGGGTTATACATTCAAGGATGGAGATTAAATTGAATTATGAGATAATAAGTGTTTAACTAAAATAAATAGGGTCTTAAAAAAATAATTAAATTTATAAAAATTAAGTGATTGTTTTAAGTTCACAAATTTTAAAATCCAAAGGTCTTAAAAAAGTATATAAAACAACTTTGGGGTCAATGTTTAATCTATTAATTTAAAATTGATAGTGTCGTAAAAATAATTTATCAAAATTTTTTGAATTATGATGGTTTTAAAATACTAGTGAGGGTTTGCATGGATATGATTTGTGTTTAACATGGATATAAATATTCTATTAGGTTCTTGTTTCAAGAATCCTGAATGATTATATCTTCAAAGTTGTGTTTAAAAATGTGCCTACACTTATGTTCGACACAGTATTTCAAGAGAAAAAGAAAAAAAAAATAGTAGTCGGAGAGGTTACTAGTTGGTTGCTTTTATTTGATTTCAAGGATGTGAAAAGAATGATGAGGTAATTGTATGCAAGATAAGAAAGAAACCTTTGTCACATTAGGATGATCAAGCTTATACCACACTACAACTTCTTGTGTGAAAGCTGCTCTGAGTGAGGCTATTTCGGCATCTGATCTATGGCCTCTTTCCCCAGTCGAGAAGTTTAACTAAGCACGGCGGAAGAATAAACAGTTGAAAATTCAAAAGCAAAGATCCCAACACAATGTAACATTAAATAACGGCAGATATTATGAAAGAAATGCCAAAGCAACTGTCCGAAAGATCACCCAAAGAACTGCCAGATGGTCACAAGTGTACTCAGCTAATGATGCAGTTTAAGTCCATGTCGATCATAGAAAAATAGTTGGGGTGTGTTGATGGCAACAAAGGGGTTATATCCAGGTGATTTATCCCTTCTGATTTTGGATGACGAGTCGCAGTTGGTGATCAGACGGTGATTAACTGGTAGTGTTGATGATATGGATATCGAGGGAATGTTGCAAAAGAATGGTTAAAAGTCGAAGAAGAAGAAGAAGAAGCTCCTCTTTCTGTTTGTCATTGGGATTTATACCCATTCCCTTTGTATGCTTAGTCAGGTCTAGAATCATAATTGCTATGTATAGACCAACAAAGTACATAAATGCAACCGCCAGTTAACAGATTTTATCATGACAAATCTCTCCAATGGCCTTATCAAAAGTTCTGTCAAAGATTCATGGTCTCCATCATGTCCCAGCAGAGATGATCTTAGTAGGGTGGAAGAGCAGTTATATTTCTGAAGGTGAAGTTAAATCTCCGAGGTATATCAGGGTGATAACTGAAGGGTAAATGTGAGTCGAGGCTCTACCTGCCCCTGTCCCGTCCCGGTAAAAATTTGGACGAGCAAGGCGAGTCGAGGCCTCTACCTGCACCTGCCCCTTTATCCGCCTATGGGAGGTTTTTTCTAGTAGATGAGATATAAGGTCTATCGGGTAGCTTCTCATGATGTCAATGGGAGAAGCTCTTTTAATTTTCTACCTTTTTATCTCCAAAAAGTTGAGATAAAAGATGAGTGCGTAGCAACAATAAATACGGACACATGAATGGTTAGGGAGAACATAATTTAAGTCACTGCTAACTGCCACCTAAAAGAAAATCTCACGAGTCACGGATTTCCAGAAGTTAGATTTTGATCACAGACTGCTTTGTGAATCAAATAACAGGAAAACTGTTTTACCACAGTAGTGAATTTATTTTCCATCTCATGAGGCGAAAAAAAGTCTGGGGAAACAAACAGAAAGTATGGCAAAGATAGATGTTACTTGTTGGTCAAGAAAGGGAAAATTGGATTAAAATTGGAGGATTCAAAGTTGTGGGTTCTTTCCCTGCATTTTCTCAACAGCCAAACAAACTGTGAAATTAACAATTTCAACTGATGGCCTTACCTTGAGTGTATAATGCATGTCTTTGTAACAGTTTTATCATGAACATGTGGCTTTCACAGAAACCAAAAGATTAAAAGAAAAACAAATGAAACCTTAAGTTTATGGATCAACAACCGAGTAAACAGTAATTTCAAGAAGAAGAAGAAATGTCATTTTGAAAACAGTAATTTCAACATATCTGGAAGAGAAAATGAGAGGAACAATGCATACCAGCAACATCTTGGCCATCATAAATACCGCGGTGAACGGTACCGAACGTACCGCGAGCAATGACACCTTTGATGACAAGCTTAGAAGGATCAATTTCCCACTCTTGTCTTCTCATGGTGTTGCTCGACCTTAGCAGTTCGCCCCCGCCACTGCTACCTCTGCCGACCCCGACGCTGCCTTCCTCTTTCATACTCCTGCTCTTCTCAAGTGTCCATGCTCTACTATGATGCCTTTGGAGTTGCTCATCCAAGCTCTTCAAATCTATTTGATCAGCTCTTACATACCCCCTCCTCCACCACCTCACTTCTCTCCTTCATCTTCTCAACCCCCACTAAAATTCACAACTTTGATCCTAAAGTACCAACAAATAGGACCAATCTTTGGAAACTTTTCTTAGCTTTTCTTCACTAAAATTCTCTTGTTTGAGCTATTACTGATTCAGGGTCTCTGTTCAAAACAATATACAAAATAACTCAATGAATCTTATATATATATATATATGGAAAATAAAAGGTTGGGTTTATTTTGTTTCTGTTAAAGCTCACAAAAAGCCTTGTTGGAAGGGGCATATAGAGTCTGCTGCTGATTCTTTCTAATTGTAGTTTTTTTAAAGTATAAACTTATGTGCCAAATTTACCTTTTCTTTAAATTGTTTTGTTTGGTTGTATTTGTAAGTAAAACCAAACTGCCCTTTCAGAAATGGTATACTTAATAGATACACAATGGATGGCATACTCAACAGAAATTTTTATTTGATTTTAAATAATGTTACTATATTGTCAACACAATATCATTTTCTTTTATCAACTGTGAGTACAAATAATTATATTTTTACAATATAAAATAGAATTTATTTTTAAATATATAATTTATTCAAAATCAACAAAATTATATAAATTTTATCAAATCAAGATTAATATGTATGCATGCTAGATTTTAGAGTAATGTTTTAAGGGCAAATTCAAACTATAGTAAGAGCAATATCTTGAGATTAAATTGATCGATTTTTCTTATATTTAAATCAAATTTTGATCTTAACTAGAGAGAGGGGACTCTAAAAAAGAAAAGAAGAGTGCTCGTGGTAGATCCAGAACCCGTAACTTAAGAAAAAAAAATGATAAATTTGACCAACCAAATAAATATACTTGCTCTATATCTCTATCAATTGAATTTTAGTTTAACTATTATTATTATTATTTGAAGGACAAAATTTTGAACTTACTTACCTATGTAGTAATTTTTAAAAAGGTATAATAAAGAAATTATCTCCAACGTTTTTATAAATGGTCATTTTGCTCTTATCTTTTTTTGGGAGCATTTTAGTCTCAACATTTTATTTTAAAGCAAAAAATTCCATGAGTGGATGAAAATCGTTATTTGACTAATGGTCAACGCTTCCTATCGATGTGGGAGATTCACGTGTGATGTCACGTCGTCAAAAATAATTTAAATATTTTTAAATATATTTTTATAAGGGTGCATATAATTAACAATGATTGTAGAGTAACTTATGTTCGACATTAACAGTTATTTAACTAACAATTATCATCCAATTAAGGAACATTTTGCTCTAGAATAAAACATAAAATACTCTGAAAAATAGGGGAAAGTGACATTTTTACAAATGTTGGGGTAATTTTGTTATATGCCCTTTTAAAAATCATCTTTAAACTTTAAAGTTTTAATTAGGGTTTGCGTGCCGTGAGAGGAAGAGGGGAAAGCGACACTCAAAACCATCATCTTTCCCATGAATTTAACACTGGCGATCTCAAACTGCATGAAGCACGTGAAGTTTTCCACCTTTCTTGACTTAATGCAAAGCAGTGATGCAAACATCAAAAGAAATGGGTCATCTTTACATTTTAGAGAGGAGCCTGGAAGGGCAGTCACAGGACCCGACCAGATGCCCCCAATTGTTTCACCAGTTATCCTCTTCGTAACTGAACCAGGTGGAGTAGGAGAGGATCTGTCTCAAAATTGTTGATTTAATTTTAGATTCGATAAACTAAATTAATCAAATTAAATCTTATTCATCTCAAATTTGATTAATTTAAATATTATTTCCTCTTAAAATTTAATCATAACTACGTCATTGTCAAGGCTCTTAACCTTGTGGTCGTGGAATCGAGTCCCACTGTAGGTAATTCATAATTCTGACTGTCGAAAGTCTTCCACGGAAGCTGCTCTCAACCTGGCGTTAGGGACAGCCTACTATCCTACCTCTCCCTCACCCCATTACATATGAGAATAGGATCAACTAATTTTTTACGTCCTTGTCAATAATTGTAAAAAAGTAATTAAAGACCAGCTGGCAATGCTTGTGATTTTAACTGTCAAGGAGGCTCAGCAGTCAGCCGCCTTATCCTTTCTCAAAGAGAAACGGTTTGGAATTTGGAGATTTCTAAGAATATTCAGAGATTCAGCAGTGATGGGGCATTTTGATAGCTGAAGTTGACTCGTGATATATATGAAAAATAGTAATGTGGCATCTTGTCAAGTGTCACGTCTTTGATGGTTAAAATGCCGCAGTTAAATTCGGAGACTAAAATGTTTAACGTTCGTCAAATTCAAGTATGACATCAAAGAAAAACTAAAGAATAACAGATTACGAAAATATCAAACACATTGGACTAAAAAACATTGATACCACATCGGGAGAAATGTCTATTCGGCACACATTCTATGAGATCAGGTACGAAGTTGACATTTTTCGACATTAGTAGACTCTTACCTGGCAAAAGGAAGAAACCAACTTGTCCGGACCGCCACGTGTTCACCGAATTTAACAGATATTGACAGTTTCAACCTGTCTTGAACATTTACTCAAACAACTGGATGTTAGTCCTCTTATATTTGTTGAGCTCAAAGTGCTCAACCTAAAAAAATAAACATAAAAAGATGCAATGTGAAACTTCACATACAACACCCGAGAAAAACCTTGTTAACATCAATACCCTTCAAATTGAAGTAGCAGCAAGTTTGACAGCTCAAAAACATACACAGTTCCAAGGCCAAGTATAAATTCAGTTCAACTGTGGAAACTGGATGTTAGTCCTCTTATATTTGTTGAGCTCAAAGTGCTCAACCTAAAAAAAATAAACATAAAAAGATGCAATGTGAGAACTTCACACAACACCCGAGAAACCTTGTTAACATCAATACCCTTCAAATTGAAGTAGCAGCAAGTTTGACAGCTCAAAAACATACACAGTTCCAAGGCCAAGTATAAATTCAGTTCAACTGTGGATAACGATAGAGCCCACACACAATCCCAAAATGAAAAAGACCAACTATACAAAATGGTTAATTTGATGCCATTACGATTCTCTTTCGAGCTTCGGGAAAACCAAAATGGCTACTACAATGTGGGGAACTTTTGAACTGTATTTACTTCTCGGTATTTTTGGACAAAAAGGGACTAACAAGAAATCATCAACACAATGTAACCTCAAATGCGCCGTTTCTTCTTCTCCGGTGTCGTGCACTTGAGCTTTAACTCCGTAGACTTTTAGTTGAAAATTTTCAAACGCCTCTGAGACAGCTGCTACCTGTTTGTGAGCACATAAAAAGGAACAGTTTATTGTGACTAAACTAATGAAAAAGAGAAATATTACAATAATTTCATTTGAATTCACAGACCAATTCAGGTTTCTTCGAATACCCTCACTATCATATCCTGATAAGATGTAGGCAGCAAGTGACTAATGCGATCATCTGGTATGGGGAACTTATCCTCACTCTCATAATCCTGGCCAGAAAACTTATCCTGTCAGACACGTGTGCATGAAACAACTCAAATGCCTAAACAGTATCAGGATCCAGACTTCAAAATTTAGGAATTTATATTACTCGACTCGAGTGAGAGTATCAGACACGTGTGTGTCCAACAAATGTATGTTAACTTTTTTTTTAACATTCTCTAAATTAAGAGAGTGCTTAGAAGATTATATCCTTGTACCTATATCATACGAGTGTTGCATACGAGAACTTCAAGAAAAATAAAGAACCAGAACAATATAGTTTGGAATTTCCTCTGTTAAGTGGCTAATATAGTTTGAAAAATAAAACAGTAAGTGATTTTAAGTACCTTGAAAAGTAAAGGCCTCATAATACCTTTCAAGAGGATTTTGCCTTCCACGAGACAAATCAATTCTGACATTGCTAACAGCAATATCATCTTCTTTTAGCTACTCCATTTTTCTGTTAAAATTAAATTGCATTGTGTCAATATGGAAACTACTTAGCTTAAGAACCGTGCATAAGATCATGCACATGTCAATGGGGGAAAAAATCATAAAGGACCTGGGAACAAGCAATGTCCTGTGCAGTGACATTTTTGAATGCTCTAATTTTCTTTGGAACTGAATACTCATTACAGAACTGCCACAGAAAATAAACCATTATATTACAAGTTTCGTCTTCCACATAATAGGGAAAAATAACCCAGAAAGCAGAATAGCATGCTGATTTGCATGCTGCCATCATACACAAAGACATAAAATTAAGCAAAGATTTTCCACCTGATACAAATTTCTCCGACGAATGCGCAGAATCAAATCTAGATTCTCGAAGTTCTTCATCAGGAGCTGTCTCAATAGTTTTGATTATTGAGTCATCCAGCTGGAATCGAAGAAGAAAAGAATGCAAGCATGTTATTCATTTGGACTCTAAGTTATTAGGAATGCAAAAGTATGCTAAGCATGTTCTCCAACCTTCCAGTACTCAGAAGGATCCTGAATGGAAGATGAGATTTCTAGATAACTATTTGCTTTCAAAAGAGCATCTACTACCAATAAGCCACTGCCTGCAATAAAAATTAAATGAGACATTGGGTACATCAGATAAGTAAGCCTACATTACTAATGACACACAGAAAAGAGGAGAGAAAAGTCAACATCATGAAGAAGATTTGTTTAAACAATGATATGGGTAAAGACTTAATTTTGTGAATACCTCACTTTAGAGTGGGTGTACACAGTTCGATAAAGTTCAGCACGAGTAGCATATAACTTGTGGATGCTAAGATCTAGCACCCATTAACAATATTAAGCAGGAGTTAATAAAAAGGACTAAAAGTAAAAGTAAACATGTACTTTGCAAATAAATAAATCAAGTGATACTAACAAGTCTTTAGCACGATAGCAGATCTCATCACCCAAAACTCCATTGTCTCCATCAACCTGCAGGTGGTGTAGTATGCTATAATGCTAGCAGAAGACATCTTATACTTTCATTTATCCTTTTGTTTTTTAATGCATCTATTGATAACAGAAATTACAAGCTAAATGCCTGGAAGATTTAACAAAAACCTAGGGAATCAAAGCTGCATCCTAAGCCACAAGCTCGACTGTCCCGGACAATGTAATCAAACCTACACAAGTAAAATTTCACTTTGTTAAATACTGCATTTAAATAGGAAATTAAATTGGATGGAAGATGTGGACAAATAATTAATTTGAACTTACTTATCCACAAATTCCATTCCGACCATTGCAACAATATCATATAAGAATTGCTTGTCCTTTGCACTCTTCAAAATAAGCACAAAATAGTCAATGTACTATATAAGAAAATAAATAAAGAATGTCCATAGTTTTTCCCAATACAGGAGGGAATATCCAATGATCAACATATGCCCTAAAAATGGAAGTTATAGATAAACTTACTTTTGGCAGTACAAACTCAGAGCTAGCTATATCATTTCTGGAACAAATAAATAATATGGGATTAAAAATCTATCCGCAACAGGAAATCAAAATTGTTTCTCATTCCCATATAGAGATTAATGACCCCCATTGCTTTTTGAGTGGGCCTATTCAAGATAGTAATCATAAACATAAGGATCAAGAGGAAGGAAAAAGCTGCAAGCAGACACTGTAAGGATATATGAAGGAAAAAATAACTTGTAGATATCAGGAGAGTTTCAGTTTCTTCTTAACGGCAACAAAGGTTAACAGAAAGAAACTATACAGTTAATACGTTGAAGTTCAAAAACACAGGAATTATTAGTTTCAAAAACACACTTTTAAGTAATTTGGAATATTGCTACATCAATTCAAATGACTCTGCATATAACACCAACTCTACTTCTGAGATCTAGACATGCCAAAGAAAAAAAATCATATAGAACCAAAAGAAAGAAGGAACATTGTGTATGAAAAAATTCCTAACAATCAACTCACCTTGACTCTTTTAATCATCTCAGGTTCAACATCAATATTGCTCCTCAACAATATGATCAATCACTTCGCTGACATTTCTCATGAGCCCTAGAAAATAGATGTGATGTAAAATGGATGAACCCACATTTTTATAAGACGAAAACCGCCTTTTCAACTCCTAACATTAACTGAGACAAGAAGAAAGCAATGCACTGATTAACCATCAAAATACATTTTATACAAAAGACATCAGACTGATACTACATACATACATGTGATCAATCAATTTTTCATATTAGATAAGAAGAAAAAGCAAGGAGTAAATAATGCAACATATACATTGTTTATTTACCATTTGAAGCCATTAAGAACTTTGGGGAGAAACTCCCGTTCAAATAAGTGGCTAAAGGTCCATGGCCTACATCATGTAGAAGTCCTACAATTGGAGGAACAAAATCCATAAGAACCAATTCAATTTAATATAACAGAACTTTCCAGTGCAACAGGTTTTACCTAACTTTCACTGTTTGAAGATGCTGGTAGAAAATTAATTTGCAGAAAATTAATTTTATACCTGATAGGTTTTGAGCTTTTGGATAGCTTCACCTGCAAGCCAATACACACCAAGAGAATGTTCAAACCTGGAATGCACAGCCCCTGGGTAAACCATGTGTACCAATCCTGAAACAATTAATAATTAGAAACATCAGAGAGCTACAGCCTGCATGTGAGCTCAGTGAACTATGGAAAACTAAATAAAACAAACATTGTGCAAATTAAGGTAAATCATACCAAAGCAATGGAATGCCATTGTTTAGTCTAATAAAGTGAACAACTGCTTTGAATAGAATTGTATTTTACTAACAGGGATCAAATGAAACTGACAAGAAACAACATGATAAAGCATAATATTCATTTATCTTAGAAACTGATGAATCATATCATCATTTTTAATGAAGACCAAGCATGCTGCATTTATGCTAAGAAAAAGTATGAAGAAATATATAGTTTTGCTATAGTATTGAATCTGACCACTCATCCATTTCCATCCGAGCAACAGCATGCAAATGAAGAAAACGCCAACTCTCAATCAATATTACTTCAACAAGAATAAAAAAGCCGGACCCTTACTTTTATGAAGCATGTGATGTGTTCGTTATCCCAAACGAAGACATCAAAGGTCTGAAAATCATAAAAATTACTAGTTTCTATCATTCTATGTAACGACTATACAAATCTGTAGCCATTTCAAAATTTATCATAAAAAACTTCTTTACACTGATTTATATTATATGCTATAAATCAACCATCTCAACACGCACACCAATCTGATGCAATTCACAGTTCAAAAACATCCATTCTCATAGGAAAAAATAAATGATAAAGAAGACGAAATCAACTTTACCAAGTTGCTTCAGCTCACGAAGCCTGTATCATGAAATAGAGAAACAATATCAAAATGAGATCTGAATTGAAGCTAAAACAATAGCGAAATGAAAATCAACTTACCTTTGAAATTGCTCGGTGTCAATAAACTTCAAAGAGAGCTGCAGCGAAACATAAACTTTTAAAAATATATATTATTATTATAAGATCTATTAAGATGAAAAAACTCAGCTACAGTATTCGTCTTCGGTCTTCACTCTCCGGTCAACAAAATTTGAAAATTAAAAACTAAAACAGTAAAAATCCTAGAAGAAATTTGATTTAGTTCATCGAAACAGTGAAGAGAATCACAACTCCGGTTAAATTTTAAAAAGCTTTTTCTACTCATGTGTAAGGCACTTTACCAAATAAGCATTAGAAACGGCTGAAGTTTTCAAAAGAGAGTAAAAGAAATACATACAGGGTCTAGATAATGTTGCCGTGAACGTTGTCACGAACGTGTTTGGAGAGCCGGAGATCCTGCGAAGAAGACAAGTTACAATCTGGAGAGAAAGAGAGGTTTTCATTACGGTAAGCATCCATTTTTTTCAGAACGATTTTGAGAGAACGAAAGAGAAAGTAACGATAAAAAAGAAGAATATTGGGGAATGTGGAAGAGCCGTCTATGTTGTCCTGATATCTGGGATTTTGTGTAACAAATGCGGCAACATAAACAAAATATCCTTAACTTTTTTATTTTGGAAACTAATCTTATTAATATGTTGATTTTTAAGGGTATTAATTGGCATTTTGTGTAAGAATTGAATCAGTAGTGGTTAATTCAATAAAAATAATAATTATTAAAACAATTAAAATAAATTCAATTTTTAAACGGTATTTACATTTTATTTTTAATAACTCACAGTAACGAGTTTAATTCTTAACTTTATTTAATGATCTGATTTAATCTTTAAAAAAAATTATACCATTGGTAATTTTAATTTACTCTATAGTCATGTGTCTTTTTTATGAAAATACATGTCTTTAGTCAATATTTGAATAAATAAGTCACAGAATAATGTATTAAAATTAATTTTAATAATAAGAAACTGATCATTTAAAATAGGTTTAATTATAAAATAAGTGTATAATTATATTGTTTTTCTTAAATGCGCGTTTAAACTTTTTTTTGAATCATTTGTGTCTAACATTATAAACGTTATTACTTTAACTGTCCAGACCATAATTGTCATTAAATTTTTCCATTAGGTAACATGTGTCACATTCTTGTAATTTTAAAAATTTTATTTAAAATTAAAATTATATTTTTATTGAAAAAACACAAAAAATCAACACTTTAAAAAAACCCAAAAACTTTGAAAACCCTCATTTCAACTCCTAAACTCACGTCGATCGCCGCCCTTTGTTGTCGACGAACATCCACCCAACCTCAACTCCACCCGATGATCGATAACCCTGTGAAATTACGACCAATCGACAACCAATCAATGTGTGTATCCCAACGAATCCTACAATGCAAATCGCGATCTCGAGGGTCAATCGATGACAAGTATAACGGTGTATGACTAGGAAAATGATAAAAACTATATCGGTGGGTTAGGGTCATGGATTTAGGATCTTTAGAGACTTTAATTTTTTTTGTGATTTAAGAGAAATTAAAATTTTTTAAATAAATATAATAATTTTTAAAGTATAAATTTTTAAAATTATCATAATATGATTTTTGTTACTTAACAGAAAATTTTGATGGCAGTTATGGTCCAAATACCTAAAATAATAACATTTGTAACGTAGACACATTAATGATTTCAAAAAAGAATTAGATACCTATTTGAAAAAATAATAATTTAGACATTTATTTTTTAATTAAGCCTTTAAAATATACTCATAAACTAAGTACTTTTTATATCTAAGATCTAATCTCCTTTAAATAATCTCCTTTAAATCAAATATACTTTTTTGTTCTTTCCTAAATAAAGCTACATATAATAACTGAAGAGAGCATTCAATGAATTTCAATTTGATACGTTCATATTTACTTATCAAGCTAAATAAACTTAAATATAATTTTAAAATTGATTTATTAAATAAATTGAATACAGATAAATTAAATTAAATTATGTTTATTAGTAAAATTATATTCGAGTACAGTTCATTTAATAACATTTAAATTTCGTTTAAAACACATTTATTAAATGATTATTATATAACTAATATTAATATTTATATGTTATTTTACTTGTAATATATTTATGAATATTTATCTTTAATTATTTTAATAAATACTTTTTATTTGTAATTTGTTTGTTTATTATTTGATAATATGTTTTTAATTACTTTACTTGCACGTATTGTAGTGCAATGAAGGAATATTTGATTCATATCCTTTGTGATTTTCCGACGGTAAAATATCTTTCGTTCCAAATCGTCCATGATTTTAGGGAAGGAAAGAAATATATTATCGAAAATATTATTATTATTTTAATATTTTTTTTAAAAAAATTATTTAAATTATTATTATTTTTATTAGAAATGTTATTATTAGATATTTTATCGGGTTTGTTAATATATTCGGTAAAGCGCAACCTCAAATATTATTATTTTTATTAAAAATATTAATATTAGATACTTTACCAAAAATATTAAAAAATATTAATATTTTAGATAAAAAAAATAAGATCCTGATTTTTCAATTTGCAGTTTGATGATTAGAATTCAATTGTATAACCTAAATTTTCTTAATTTTATATAGATTTATAATTATTGAATGAGTAAAAATAAATAAATAAATTTAATAATAAAAATGAACAAAAAAAATTATTTAAATAAAATTAATACTAGTACTTTATTTAATAAAAATTAATTTTTAAGTACACTTAAATAAAAATAATCAAAAGAAAAGAGAGATTAATGGACAGGAGGATCACATTTATATAAACGTGAGGCTGAAAACACGGCATCGGTATTACAATTACAAACTCGAGCAATAATCGATGGCAGCAGCGAAGCCATTGCCATCGTCTCTCCAAACTCACAAAATTCTCTCTTCATGCAACCAAATTTCACCTTCTCTTCTCCATTTCCGTCAACGTTACAGCAACCCAATAAGCCAACAACCGCAACAAAGGCGAAAGCATTCAAGCTCCTTCAATGGCGCCTACAGCTTGGTTATCAAAGCTTACATGGAAAACCCAAACTCCATCTCTGGTTTCGCTAACAAAGTCATCGGTTCTCTCCCTATTATTGGGCTTGTCGCTAGGATTCTCAGTGATGAAGGCGGTGTTGGTGGGGATCTCATTGATTTTGCCGAATTTAGAAGAAGGGTCGGCAAGAAATGTACAGTTACTGATTCCAGAGCCTTTTATGAGTTCCAAGAGAGGAGAGGCCGGGTAGTTCTCTTCACTTTTTAAACTCATTTTTCACTGATTAAGATTATTAGTAAATTAATAACGTTGGGTTTTGTCTATCTTCCGTGGATTTTTTTAATCAGGATATATTTGTATAAGATAATATTTGTTCTAATATTCTTTAGTTCATTAATAATATAAATATAGTTTCTCGATCCTAAATTTTTTAATAAATATATTATTCTTTATCATTAACATTTTATCATTAACATTGAAAACACTCAACGGTTTATTTTCGTGGATTTAGGTGATCGAATCATGCATTGTCTTGTGTTATTTTGATATCGTCTTTGTTTGTTTTCTAATGATGTAACATTGTATAAGAGCTTCTTATGTTGTAACATGAAATTAAGGAAGATTTTGGGATGGGGTGCTGTGTTTTTTTTTTTGACAGGCAGGGGATCCTTTGTATGTTCTGCTATGTTGTTGGCTAGCAGCAGTCGGTGCTGGTCTTCTTAAATCGGAGGAGATATTGGAGGGAGTGGCAAGGCTTCGGATTTCGAATGATATTGAGTTTGAAGAGCAGAATTTTATTGCAATGATGAATGAAGCAAGAGAGGTCAGTTCATGGTATTCGTATTATCCCATTTCGGTTTCATCACTTCATATCATGCCAAACACTTTTAAGATTAGTACTCAATATTTGTTTAATGGTAAAAAGTATAAGAGGTTTTTGTACTTTTGATTGTACTTTTGAAGAAAAATTAATGTGATCATTATATTATTTCTTCTCTTAATATTACCCTTTAACTCAGAAAATTTGTAGTTCTTTGATAAACGTTTTTACGTCATTGACCATTACGGTGCTGGCATGACAACTCACAATGCTGACATGGGGATCCATGATGCTAATGTGACGTCCAATTTAACCCATCTGTCACGTTATCAACCACTGTAGACTGTCACGTCAGTATCATGGACCGCCACGTTTGTACAATGAATTATCACGTCAACACCGTAGCGATCAACGACTAAAAAACGTTGGTCAAAGAGGCACATTGGGTTTATTTTATGAGTTGGAGAGTCACATTAAGATAAAAATAATACAAAAGCCACATTGATTATTTTTCAAAAGTATAGAGACCTCTAATGCATTTTTGTCTTGTTTAATGATCATTTTAACTCTTATTTTTTAAAGTGTTTTAGCCTCGAACATTTTATTTTTCAATTGGGATTACTCCTCTTAGATGAAAACCATTAATTGATTATCAATTAACATATATTGAAGACGTGATATTTTTGTATATATTAATTTGTTAACATGTCACATGTCACGTCATCGAAATTGATAATGTGATAGTGTTAGATCATATCACCAAAGTAGCCATGCGATCAGACATATGTCACGTTATCAATTAAACACATGTAAAAATATGGTGTCAGTAACTTACGTTGTTTGTTAACTAATAGTTTTCATCTAACATGTGTTATTTGTTCAAAAATTAAAACATTAGGGGTTAAGTTGTTCAGAAAAAAAAACTAAAATAATTAGTTATACAAACGTTGATGGCTAATTGTATCATTATGGATTTTAGTAACTGCCCCTCAATACGTGTATATTCAAATTTCTAGTTTTTTTCCCATGTAATTGGGAGTATCCTTAAAGGTTCAAGTAAAATAAAATGTTAAACACAGTTGACTAGCTTTTTAACTTGAGAAGAGTGAATGGAGAGCTGCCTCATGATTTCCATCCTATGTGGTTGCTTGCTTGTTTGTTTCCATTTTGACGTTGTTCATGGAGTGTCTGATGCTCATTTTAGATTCTTTCAAATATACATGTAGGTATTTATATATGTACTTACTGATATACTTGCTACAGAGGCGAGCGAAGTTGAATGTGGGTGCCCCAACTCTTCCGGTAGAGATTCGAGCTGAAAAGGCCCTCGATGCAATTTACGTATGTTGCTTCGGGAGAGTTCCGATAGGAGACGAAGACAAGAGCTTGCTAGATATTATGCTAAGAGCGGTTTTCCCAACTGTTGAGCAATCAACAATTCGAAAAATCATCAATGACAAGGCAATCGAAGTAGCAGAAGGTGGCGATGATGCAGACATTGTTCCTGAGCCAAAGCCATTGTCAAAGGAAGCTGTACAAATGCAAATGAAAGACCTTGAATTCCTTAAACAAAACAAAGAGACATGAACGAAACCGATTTTAACGGAAAGCGGGACGGGTTCGTTTCTTCGAACTGGACTTTGATGGTATCAGAGACTGAAGGTAAGAAAATGATTCGATGATAAGGAAATCATCGAACACTTCCCTGAAAATATAGATCCTTCATGTTCAGATCGCTCTCGTTCGAAGATAAAACGTGGTGGTTTTAACTCAGCCTTCCCTTTTCCCTTTTCTCTGTTTATGTATTGCTTTTGTTGTAATTTGAAACTCAATCTTTTGGTGCAAGATTTTGAACAATAGCCACCAGTAAAGGCAGCAGCTTCCGAGTGAAATTCAAGTTCAGAGTTCATCTTCTTATCCTGATCCTGAACAAAAAAGAAATTTTATTTTGATCTTTGAACAAAAAAAACTGTCATCAAGTCATTAAATTATCAAATTGGTTTTAATCAATCTACCGATAGTTAATCGTTGATGAATTTATACAATAACACATTTAATTCTATTGTTTACATATTATATTAATTTGATTTTAGTTTTAAATAAAATAATATTAGGGATGGATCGAAGGAGTTGATAAGGATGATCACTTCCTGAAAACTTTAAATTCTTATATATTTTAGATATTTTATTTATTATTTTTATTGGAAACTTATTTTCACTTTTTTAAAATTTTATAAGTTCACCTCTAACATAAAATCTTGTGTGTGTCTCTAGTTAATACAAAATATGTTCTAAGGTAAAAATAGATGAGTATATTCAAATCTAAGAACTTAATTTTTGTTTGATGTTTAATTTAATTTGTTCCTAGTTAATACAAAATGTTATAAAATAAAAATAGATTTTATATAAAGTTACTCCTAATATAAAAATCTCATCCTAAATAAATATTAGTAGACATCAATCAACTCCAAGATCCATTAATGAATACACAACTTTCTCTTCTTCCAATTATTTTGTATTCGAACAAAATTATTTTATTGGTTAAAGGTATAGACTACGTAAGATTCTATTTAACATTTTAATTTAGGCGTTAAATTTTAGAAATTATAAAGTATTAGATTTAATTGGTATTTTGGAAGAAATGAATGATTAAATTGTAAAATCATAAAGTTGGCAGACCATTTTAAGAAGTGCAGAAAATTCAATGACTAAACTTATGGTTTACCTATTTTTTTTATTGGATGAATTATAAACCCTTGATTTTTTTCTTCTTCAGTTTTTCTCATTTTCTCTTCCCCTCAATCCTCTTTTAAACTCTGATCTATTCACCGTCCTGTCATCGTTTGACGAACCGAAACCACCATCGTGTTCATTGTCGACCGAAGAACAAAACCCCCTAAACCTCTTGTTGTGAATCGGCGTCGTTTGTCGTAAATTTCAACCGGAAGTATCGTCAGTTTTAACTCAATCTCCGTTAGTTTTTCGTCGATTCACGTCGATCCTATCACCCATTTTCGACACCTCCCATATCATCGCGTTCCTTGCATCGTTCCGAGTCCACCGGTGTTCTCTGTGTCTCCTTCGTCGTCGGCGCGTGGAGGGTGAGAAAGTTAAAGTTTACGATGTTTCGGAATCGAGCTCTCCACCGTTCAAAATTGTGAACCGAGCTTTGTAAGTGTCTCAAAATGCCATAAAATGTATTTTAGAAATTTTTCGAGAATTTTTCCGACACGATAGCACTGTTCACGCGCCCCACGCGCCACCCTTTGAGAGTGGGCTTCGTCTGGCAGCTTGGTGGATAAGCTTGAACCGACCCGACTGACCGACCCGACCCGTTGATCGTTGACCACCGTCGACCAGAACTTTTACCGGCGTTGACCATCCATTGAACGACCGTTGACTTTTTCCGGGTACACCTATCATGACATTTTTTACGTCCTGAGCCCGATTTCGCAGTCTATTTTTCGAAATTCGGACCTGAAAATTGCCAGTCAAACCCGTTGACTTTGACCGAAAAGTCAAAAAATTTAAAAAAAAATCATATTTTATGTTTTTCGACGTCCTGAATCCGAATCTGAAGTCCGTTTCGCCAAATTCGAACCCGGTATGTTGTTTTTCACTAATTTATTACCCGGTTCGATCCGTTTTTCGTAATTAAGCTCCGTTTTTTATGAAATTTATGTTGATATGTATCCAATGAATTATTAGAAGTTGATTTCAAGATCGAGGATGTTTGAATGGAGTTTAAATGGTCGATCAGTATGGCACAAAAATCGAGATAATATATTACTACCTCTTTATGCTTTATAAAACATGTTGGTATTGGTAAATGCATGAATGTAAATGTTTGGTCTCATATGTGTAATTAATGAAGTTCTACACTCGATTCGAATACAATAAAAATCTGGTAATTGAATATGGATAAGATGACTAATATAAGAAATTGAAGGACAACTTGAATTCAATTACAAGTTATGAGATAAATTGATATAGGAATCATCACTGGATATGCAATTTATAATCTATCTCATTTGATAAGGTATGAAAATACTTCGATTAGGTAAAATTACAAAATTACTCTTATGTTGGAAAATGACAAGAATTGTCCCTGGAAGTTGATTAATAAATTTGAAAAGACATATTGATATGATAAAACTACTGATGTGCATAAGAAATGTTAGTTTTACTTGGAAAATTTGGATAACCGGTTTTTAACCCCAAGAGGGTTTGTGCAATATACTAGAAGTCTGTTAAGGAATCATTTCAAGATCAGAGAATGTTTGGGAAAGCAATTAACCATAAGATCTCTAAATTATAATTATTTTCGTTAAGAGTTAATATTGAAATTATCTGGTTAAGAAATTATGAAAATGCCCTTGAGAGGTACAAGTAGTCTGAGTTGACCCTAAATGATAAAGTATTTTGAGGATTCATACTTAACTCGATAAATTACGGATTTGATTGTTAAGATCATGTATTTGTGCAGAAAAATTCCTGATATTTTGATTGTAAAATATGAGAAGGCACTTGACCCGAAAATATTCGAGTTATGAGTAAATACTTGAAGAACAATTTATCGGGGGTGTTATTTTGTCAGAATTATTCGAAATGACTGAAATAAATGATAAGTTTGAATTTAATAATAAGATCGGACGGAAGGAAAGGATTGAAATACATTGGATTTGTAAAATGACCAAAATACCCCTGGAATGAAAATGACTCAAGAATATCACCAAGCCCAGGAATGAATGAATACCCTCAAGCTCTATAATGAATGGAAAAACATTGAGCACCAAAATGACCAAAATACCCTTATGGCATAGACTAAGTAGATGTCTTGGATTAATTAAGGAAATCCAAATAAACATGAGTGTGGTACTGCTCTTAAAAGTTATGGATCACATATTAAGCCGAGCAACCAATACTAATGTTATATCAGTACCAGAACGACATAGATGTCACTTGAATGCTTGTTCGACTTCTCAAGTTTGGCTCGATGATAATTTTGAAAGTATTCAGCTCAACTCTAGATCGCATTCGGTACTAAGAATTTGATATTCGTTAGACAAATCAACCACGAAGACCAAATTGAACTGAACGAAAGTACAGTATGTATCCGAAATTCAAAAATGCCTAAATTACTCTGGAAAACCCCGAAGTAACTGGAATGGACTTGACTGTTAAATGAGCTAAGTAACCTCAATGAATGAGAATTAAGTAAGTGATTTGGATAAGTTTGGAAACTCTGATGAGTTTATAAGATGTATTGTCCTTATGGGTTATGAACTACAAATCAATCACATCAGTATTTCATGATATCGTGGAAATGAAATAAAGACCATTAGAAGATCTATTCAGCGATGATTTTGAAGATGATTTATGGACAATAATTGTTGGTATTAAAGAGTGAATACCTGAAGGACAAAGAATGAACCGATCAACATGCATTAGTTCTGGAAGTTGTTCAGCTTGAGTTATTTCGATAATCCGATAGATCGACACAGACTGTAAATGTTATGAACCTTCACTTATTTCTTATCAGCTCAAGTCTCATTTTGAATAACTGACGATTTCGTCAGTTATTGAACTCTTCCAATAGTGATTCTGAATTCCAACATTTTATCGGTAAACTAAAGATCTGTGTTTCTCTGCTCGATAAGATTATCCAATATCTCTGAATAATATATGGAAACTCTAGTGTGTTCCCTACTCACATGAATATTTTATCTGATTTCCGACTTGAATTCTGTTCTGATACATGACCTGAACTCTGTTCTGATTTCTGATCTAGATTCTGTTCTGATATATGATTTGAATTCTGTTTTGATTTATGATATCTCCGTTTATTGACGGAGAAATGTTTTATATGGGGGGTTTATTGTTGGAGGAAGTATATCTGCAGGCTTCTCGGTTGTGTGCTCAGGGCCTTACTGGTTGTGCAGGCTGTATGGTTCTGGGGAGCCTACACAAACAGATTGTGAAAGGATGGGGGTAATATATATATATATATATATATATATATATATATATATATATATATATATGTTTTAAAAGATCTATATCTTTTTAATGGTTTTATGGGAACACACTAGATAAACCTATTCTGATCTCCTGAACTCAATCATCCAAAATATTTCTCTGAACTGAAAGCTCATTGTCCGTTACCACCTGAAATATCAGTAGGATTTCCGCTCAGCATAAAAATCTGTAGATGTTTGAACCAATAAAGAAATATATGTTTATCTGTATCTGCACGTTCTTCAGCATTATCTGTAGTTCTGTATTACTGAGCTTTCCGAAGCTCACTCTATTACTCACCATTACAGGTTAAAAGAATTGTATCAGTGCAATTATCGAATTCAGTAAGGGAGTTCTTCTGGCGTTGTTTGCATAGTATGTTACATGTGATTAGGGGGCATGTAATTGTATTTTGTTTTATCTTATATAAGAGTCTGAAAATCTGTTTTATTTCGAATACCGATAAATTTTATTTTTTATTCATAAATGATTTTATGAGTTTGCATGTTTTAAGAAAAGTTTTAAATTTTCCTCTATTTTTACGGGATCGCTCCGGTGGCCTTAATGTGACACTCCAGATCGGATCGGGTTAACCGTATCGGTCTGAGGGGTTACATTCTATGTTGTAAAATAAACTTAAACTTTTAAAATTCTAGAGGGCGAACTCGAATTTCAAGGGTAATGAAAACATATTTTAATAGAAAATAATATAAGAAACCTAAATATATAGTAGTTTTAAAATTTTAGGAGGTGGATGTCCTCACTCGCTCCCCTCAGTCCATCCTGGTTAAAGGTATTATTCTTAAGAAGGCGTTTGGTTTGCGAAAAATATTATTATCAAGAGGAATAATCTTTTT